AGCACAGAACCACACAATTCTTTAGCACAAACCTATTCCTTCGCTTTTGAACATCTCCAAGAGAACAATTTGCTTTCTGAATTCTCGTGCCTTATATATTTTTTTATTTTACTTACTTACACATGTACAAGACACCGAAAGTGTGTCATTACAGACAAGGGTGCTTCAATTTTCGTGGGATAATGGAATTTTCCCACAAACTTTTTTGCCCACGTGCAGCATTTTTATCCTATCTTAGTCTCTGCTCTCGTGTCCTTTTATGCCACCTACCCCCACCAAACTTCAGATATACAGGCAACTCTGCATCAGGAGTTTCCAGTAAGACTTTACTCTCTCAGCTTTGTGCACTTGGTTTTCTCTTTATTCTAGCCAAAAAAGAACCCAGAAAAAACCACAGCCATGTTCCTTCTAGGATTTATCAATAAGGGTCACAAGAGTTAGTCCTCAATGAACACATAAAGGCAGCAGTGAGTACTAGCCTAAGCATTTTATAAAGAAAATTCTCATTAGATTCTTGCCATAATCCTATAAGGGAGGTATACAGGCAAGGAAATGGAGTCAGAGAGAGTAAGAATTTGGACCCAGGTTCACAGTTAGGTCTGGGATCTAACCTCTAGCTTGACTACAAAATGCATTCTCTGAAGCACTGCTTTTTCACAGCTGTTTCTACTTTACTTTTTCTCTTATACTACCTAAACTACACATTCTTAATTACCAACCCCCCTTTGGGGGTAAGGGGGAAAGGGGCATTAAAAACATAAAGAAAAAAAAAATCTACCACTTAAAATTATATCCAAATTGCTCCAGAGAATAATTACTATTCTTTTTACACCTTTTAAAAATATTAGAATTGAGCAATTTCAAAGGACTAAAAACCCATTACCACATTAAAAAAAACTCACCTGCTATAGTCAATGTTAAAATTTGTTTTTACAATTGGCTTAACATACACTTCACCTGATCACTAAAGTTCCCAACACTGAAAAAATTCAATTTCAAAAAATTCTCAGAAGAATCTAAAATTTGGACATACACATATGTTGTATATTTTCATTACTTGTTGGGTATATGAATTGGCAGAACAACTTCTGAATCATTTTTATAAATACATCGGAAGTAGTATTTTACACTCCCACTTATATCTGCAACATTCTTCCCACTCTCCTTTCCTATTTACCACTTAATGCCTTACAAACACTTTTATTTTCAACTCATTTCATTTTGCCTCCCCTTCTTGTCCTGTAAGCTAGAGAAGGCAGACAAGCAAAGTAAAACTGAGAGACCATGCCAAATGACCAGTCAATGGACATGACCACACATTCCTTGCCTCTGCAAAAGATGAACTCCAGCTAAGGGACACCCCTACTGTGATATCTGTAAGATTTACAACTTAGTAAATAAACAAAGTACATTTTCTCTCATAATCAACTACAAATCATTCTCAAGAAGCCCTATAAATGAACGTGCAAGAACATGCAATGGCCCAAAGATATTCAAGGGACTCAGTAATACGCTTTGCAATTTAATGCTCAAGTCCAGTACACTGAACCAAGAAGCCACATCTCAAAGACTCCACGATCAGAACCAATGTAATCAGCCACACTTCAGACTTTAAAGGTAGTAAAGCCTGGTAGCACAGTGGGCTACAAGTGGAAATTGACTCGGTGGCAGTCAGTTTGGTTTTTTACCTACAGCACAGGTTTCACACCAAAATGTTCTCCTTAGGCTGCTAGACAACTAGCATACACTGGTATTTTGAGAAAGTAAAACACTGAAAAACCCCTGTCATTTTTCTACTATGTACATTAATCTAGTTGTCCACCAGGCACACAAAATAATATACAGGACCATTATATATTCTGCTTTGTGCCTTTGAGATGAAAACCAAAAACTGGCATAAAACCAAGCCAGTAAATTCGGACACATCATAGATCCTAACACTTAACACATCTTTCTAGAGTCTGTTCTGTAAGTGCCTATTGCATGAAATATTTACAAGCAAAGACAGAACATGTCCACTAAGCAATTAAGGTTATAACATGTTATCCTTATTATTTCTATCACACAGGTTATTAAAAATAGGATAATGCAGGATTTACCTGTTTCAATCTCTTCTGGTCAAGTTTTTTACAAAATAGCTTTTATGATATTCGGAGTGGAGAAGTTAATTCTTTTAACAAATGATTTGCTTTGACTTAGCCATACCATATGAAATAAAATGGACATATTCAAATAGGAACATATAGGTGCAAAAGCCAACAAGTAGCGCCCCATCCCCTTATCCCAAATCATAAAACCAGAACTCAAATTCTTTGAGCCAGCCTGGAAATGTCTTTAATAAAAACCTTTGGAGTATTAAATATTATTTTAATTCTGCATCAGTACCTAATGAAGAGCTTAGAAATTCAGAAAACGGGAATTAAGCCTGTTTTTGTTTTGCAACCATTCAACCTGTCTTCCACTTTTTCTTTCCTATAAAGCTGGCATGCTCCACATTTAAGAGGTACGCATACATTCACTACAAAAATTGCAAGCTTCAAACATTAAAAAAAGTTTCTGGAGAGCAGAACTGTTGTCTTATTTGAACTACTTTTAGATAAAAACCATACCTGGTTCCAAAGCAACATCTTTTACACTTATAAAGAAAACTCAAGCGAAAACTCAAATTCCAGTTAAAGGTTTTAAAAGTTTGAAATTTACAGTTTTAAAAAGTGAGGTACCTTCAAACATTGCCTACAACTTTTATGCAAGACTACTGGAAGCCAAAAAAAAAGTGCCATCATGCCCTACTTGAAGTAAATTTACAGATAACAGTATTTTCTTTAGATTCACAGCATCCTCAACAAAAACTCCAGATTGCGTAGCCAGGGTTAAAATTTGTATCCCAAAGAATTCCTGGAATAGAATCTGAGAACAGAGAGGAATGTGGAAGGGGGGAAGAATCGTATCCACTATGAAATTTAGAAGTAATGTTAAAATAGACTGTTAGGATTGAAAGTATCTGAAAAAAGGTTTATTTTTATTATTAAAATCTTATATATATGTATATATACATACATATATAAAACTTTTAAAAAGCCATTTGATACACTCTGGACTCCTTCATAATATTCCAAGAGTGTGTGTTAGCCAGGTGAGACACTACGAGAACGAGCTAGACCCGGCCATAGCCAGCATGCAGGGCTACACCTGGGCAGAACATCAGAACACACCCATGTGTGCAAGCCAACTGGACGCAGACCCCATCACCACATCATACACAAACGCCAGAGCAAAGTCACTCAAGAGACAACCCAGAAGTAATCTACACCTGAAAACACATCTGTGGGGGTCTGCAAAATTTTCCAGAATGGCACTTTAGTAAGTGCAAAGAAATGCAATATTCAGTGTGTACATGTGTAAATTCTGAAAAACAAAACAGCATTAAAAAAAATCCCCAAAGACTACAGAAACTTCCAGGCAGAAGAGGATCAAAGTTCACACATAACCTATGTCACAAGCCATAGGTAAAGTATGATTTCTACTAAAAATAATTTTTTCTTAAAATTTCAAGCTGTCAATTCATAACCTTTCCTCCAAAGAACAAAGACATTCAAAACATTTGCCATTTTCCTCACATTTTTGCCCTCTGAAACGCAGCCTCCTCCAAAACCTGCTGGAAAAGTTGTGCACAAACTCCAAGGGTACATTTAACTCCATTATGCACTCTCACTGGCAGATGGAGGGATGACGTTGAGCCTGTTCTGGGGAGTTTTTAAAAGAGATGCTCTGTAGTAAGGGGAACATCGTGGGGACTGTCAGATGGCCAGCCATTCTTCCTTTTCATTATCCTGGCATCTCAAACAACTACAACAGGGAGGTGGGTGGCCACCAGAGCACCACTAAAGAGCTGTGAGAAGGGAAAGGGGGAACCAGGGACCGAGTCTCCGGCATTTCTCCTTACAAAAGGGCCTGCCCACAACTGAACGAAGTACAGAATTGGAGGGTTTTCAAACAAAAATCCACGATCTCCAAATATGCTTAAATGCTAACAAGAATAAAACAAACAAAAACTCCAAAAAACCAAGGCTGCTTTCATCCCAACACGTACACACACACACACATTTTAAAACTTTTCTACAATCCCTTCATGCTGCAGTTGGGGCTTCTCCCAACTTCTATCCTCAATTTCCAAATACCCGCCACGGAACCACGTACTGATTTTTTTTCCCCTGCCCACCCTACAACTACCAAACAAAAAGATAATACAAACTGTACAAAACCTCCGTCCCTCCCCACCTGGAATCCCAGGGTTTCAGGCATTTTCGTCTCGCAGCAAAGACCTGGGAGACGTAAAATGAACTGCGCTCCATATTGATTCTTAAAGCAAATAAAAAATTTTTAAAAGGAGAGGGGATGGTGGAGGGGGTAAAAAACAAAAACCCGCCACCACCTAAGAAGGGTAAGAAAGATCAAATTTGAACAGCCTTCACGTGTAAACCGAAATCCTGGCTCGCACTCACAGCATTAAAAAGAAATGAAAGCACGATTTTTAAAATAAATAAATAAATAACGCCCTAAACCCTCCGCAGGGTATCTTTGTGCAAGAGAGGCGGTAAGAGTGGAAAGTAGGGGGAAGAAACACTGGCGACTCCTCCTTTAGGACCAACCCTCCCCCCCCCTCGCCCCCTCCCCCCCCAAAATGAAAACTCACAGCGCAGAAAAGGCCCTGGCAGACCCCGGGCCTGGCCTGCGTTTCCCCCAAATTAAACGGCCTGGCCGCCACAATAAAGGCCATGTCTCCCCGGCAGCCACTTCCGAGCCCTAATTCCAGAACACACAGCGAGGTGACAGTGTTGAAACGCAGGGCTCGGGAGGCCGAGAAAATGGTAGGGCTCCGGCGGCAGCTCATTCAGACACCCCGCGAAGGCAGGCATTCGAGGGAGCAGTGAGTGGGGGAGCCCCGGGGAGAGAAAGGGAGCCAACATGGAAGGAGGAAGGTGCGCGGGGCCGGGACTAACCTGTGCCGTCGCTGGCCGACGCCGAGAGGGCCGGGGACGAGAGTTTAGGCCGCTTCGCTGAAGGCGGCCCGGGTTCCACCACATTCTCGGCCATTTTTAATTCTTTCGAAGCGACGGGCGAGGAAAAGGTGAAGTCTCGGGCGATCTCCTCTTCGGCCCCGGGCCCCCGCCCTGCTCCCTGGGGTGGGCTTGGGGGCCTGGGCCGGCAGCCGAGGGGGTGGGGGCGGGGGGAGTTCCTTTTTCGCGTCGCCGGGTCGCGGCGACTGGAAAGGGAGGTGGACTCGACCGAAAAGGTAGGGCCTGGCCCAGCCCGGAGGAGGGCGCAGCGCACGAAGCCGCCGAGCGCGTCCGCCGCGACGAGTTCCCGAGAACTCGGGCTCTAGAGGCGCAGTCCTCGGCCCGCCGCGGCCGGCCCTTGCCCAGCCGAGGTCTCTCGGAGCGCCACCGCCGCCATCAGCCTCTTCCTCCTCGGCGCTGTCCTCCTCCTTCTCATCGCCACAAGGAGGCGGGGGCGAAAGGGGGGGAGAGGAGGAGGCGACGAGAGACACTCACCTCCTCCCGGTGCCCCCTCCCGGGCCTGCGCCCCCACCCTGCG